AATTAATCTGCAATTTTCCACGTCATTGTCTATATTAGCCAATGCCAATATGTCGTTGCCTTCCCTGCTGTTATATCTCTCTGTTCGCTCCACCCCAGGCCCAGGCCCATCCGCCCAACCGTTCACCGACCATGGAGTGGAGTGGAGTGTCTGCAGTGCATCGAACCCCCCCTCCCCCCTTGGCAATCATCCGGGGAATTAAGTGAAAAGCATTTAATCGTTTCCATGTTTCAATGAAAACTGCCGTCAGACGGGGAGGAGTTGCAGGTGGAGGAGGAGGAGGAGGAGGAGGTGCAGGTGGAGGTGGAGGTGGAGGTGCAGTTTGTTCATGCAAATTGTGCCACTGGAACCATCTACGTGCAGTTTGTCGCCCATTCAAAGCACACAGCACTTTCCTACTTTTAGTTTCTCTCATTCAAGGGACAGGGCGGTGAAAGGGGTGAACTCACAGGTGCCATATCTCCTCCAGAGATGCCAGGGCATCTCCTTTAACCATAATTAGGATGGACAGAATAATCAATACCGTCTTGTGGAGCTCCATTCCCTTCCAATTCCCCCATTCCCCATGGTCACCAACTGTGTGTTTTCCGCCTCTCTCATGGTCATGCCTCTCGCTCACCGACTGGCGTCCGTCCTTGTCTGTTTTGGGGGAAATCTTGCATACATTTTTAATCGCCAGAGTTTGCAGGAGTCTCCCCACAGCCCTGGGCCCGGGGGCACATTACAAATTACATCACACAAGTCCCGGCATGCATGCCGATATGCAATCGCGATGTTGCTGCCACTCCATGGTGGTGCCCCTCTAGCCTCCAACCGTCCCAGAATGGTCTGTTCCGCACTTTCACTGGAAGCTGGGAGCCCATCTAGCCTCGATTTCAGAGCCATTCAATTGATTCTGGAACGTTTTGCTTATATCGGGTTGGACGTGACGTCAAGCGCTCGCCCCCAGGGCCGTGAATCGGGGGCTAATACGACTATCGGCTAAAAACCCGCTGCCCGGCCCCCTGCCTGGGGAGACCCGACTCGACGTCACCGTTCTGCCTGCCGTTGCTGTCATCCGGTTCCAACGGCCAGGCGAAAATCAAGCTGCGACCGGTTCAATCCAATGAAAGCGTTAACGAACATAAATTACTTATTGCATTAGTTCATTAGCTGGAGTCCCGAGGCCCGAGGCCTGGAGCCTGGGATCGTTTGCCAATTGTTTTGCCCTCTTATCCGATAAAGACTCACGAGTAAATATCTGCTTCCTAATCTGTTTATAATTGTTGGCCCGAAACTAGTTTGGCTCTAAACTGCTGCCTGAACGGCCCTTGAGTGCGTCTCAGTTGCGGCTAAAACGGGCTCCAAAGCACTATTCTAATTATGGCTGTAATTTGATTTACGGCCGGGCCACAGTTCGGCCACATGCTGCATATTCATTGGGTGCAGAGGTCAGCCCCAGCCACGAAATGCACTGCCTAACCGGTTCGTTGGGGCTCGCTTCGTTAAAGGTTACACCAGAGCAGAGTGGGGGCTTAGTTTTCGGTCTCTAAGACATTGTTTTGGGATTTGGGAACACAAAGCGTGAACCTTGAAAGAACGCTTCAATGCCGTAGCTCCGAGAAGATCGGAAATCAGCTCAGAGAACGTGGTCGGGCTTGCCCCCAAAACTTCCTCCACGTCGCGTCGTGAATACGAAATACAAAGACTTTTGCCACACGGTTCTATGACCCTGCCCTGTGAGGCCTTTTGGGGCGGCTATCGGGAGGCATCACGAAAGAAAGGCAGAGAAAACAGCACAAATTGGCCGGGTCAAGCGCTTACTTGGCCACAACAAAGATTACTGTTGGATGGCTCATTACGGTGGAGTGGTAGAGGGAGGAGGGGATGGGGGTATGAAATGTGTGCCAAGCAAATATTTGCTTACAGTAAAATGTAAACGCTGTAATAACAAATACGTTATGGAGGCCGGAAAATGGGTTTCAAGGGTACGCTCCAATCGATCGTCGGCCATCGAAATGAAGCCATCAAAGCGAAGGATGGGGGGGTAGGGGGGGGGGGGGGGGCAACTTCCACCTGCCTGTGAAAGTGCAAATCATGCTAATTGAAGAGCGTTTTGTGTCATAATTATGGAGCAGACATTGCGGCGGCTGTCACTCATTAAAAACCGTTTAGTCCCCACGAGCCCCCAATGAAACGAAAGTAAAAAGAATAACCAGCATCGCAGCCGATATGGGGAGAAAGTGAAGTGTTGGCGAATCGATTCGCGGGGGGGGCTCCAACTCCAACGCCACATGAGGGGGCAGCCTGAGTTGAGTGGGTTCCCATCACTGAGGATCATTTTGGGGCAGGCCCAAGAAGCCATGGTTCTCCCTCGTTGGCCGTCCTCCTCTGATTCATTCAACTCGTTTTAATGACTGCCAAAGATATTAACTCCCGCAATCGGAGTAAAAGTTTTACAATGTCAAAAGCTGTGGGTAATGGCTTTCTCCCCAAAGGCCACTGACAAATCGATTTTCATGTTTCTTTGTTTGCAAACTACTCGTCTGTACCCCCTCTACCCCCCCGCCGACCCTCGCCCGCACACAGAGACCCAAGGCCTGGGGGGGAGGAGGGGGTGGGGAAATGAACTTTAGACAGAGGAAAAACCAAATGAAAATGGGAAACGCGAGTGCGAGTGCGAAAAGCGCTAAAAGTTCAACCGCCCCGAGGCGACGACTTGCAGCCATAAAAAACAATGATGTCTCGGGAATTACGCCACAGCGGATAAAGGATAACGGATAAAGGATATCTATGCCACAAATACACGGACTGGCGATCGTCGAGAATGTGACGGATTTCGGGGGGAGACAAATAATTGGCACGTGGCAGCAAAAATTACCAACAAGTGCAAAGACCCTTGACAACGTGCAGACTCCGTCCGACCTTTGTCTAACGAAGCCTGCCACATGCGGGGGCACTGACACTCCGCCCCGAATTTGCACAGCTGCTGCGCGCTGGGGCCTGTTTAATTGCCGTGAAACGAGGGGGGATTAGAACTGTTGTCGATGCTCCATCAATCAGAGACAGCAACGAGTCAGAGCACACATCGCCCCAGAACGATTAAAAGCCATTAATTAAATGTAAACAATGGCCAAGCAAAGCCCCCCCGCCACGGAATCAGCAATAAATGACAAATGCACTCGTCCCTATCTTTGATTGATGCCATATTGGCCACTCCACCTGCCCCTGGATGGCTTAAACGGGGGCAGGCGAGTGATAAGCGGCAGCTACTCCGATAAGAGTCGAATAATTGACTGCTTGGCAGCCCATCAAATATTTGCTATACAAATTATGGCCCAATCGATGGGGTACTTGCCGCTGCAGTCGTATATCATATGAAATTTCGGGTATTATTTCAGGGCTGGCACAGGGGCTAATCGAGACGCCCCCACAGTGGCACCAACCACCAGGAGTGCGTCGCCCTCAGTCCCCATTCCTCTCTAAACTCTCTGCAGGAGACGCCTTTGGCTTTGGCTTTGGCTTTGCCTCTGGAAAATGTTGCCTTGTGAGTCATGTTGGTCTCCCCTTCCCCGTGCCCTACCCTCCCCTCTTCGGAATCGGTTTTTCTCATTATTTTTCCAGCCGCAGCTGCGTGTTGAAGTGCAAAGCGATCGACGGGCCGCTTGGTTCTGGTTAAAGATAATATTTACTCCATTTGCTCTCTTCTGTGCTGCAAGGAGGGCTGCCCCCCTCCCCCGTCAAGGAGGTTAATTAGCATTGAGTGTCGCCACAGCGTCCCGCCACGAAAATGTTCCCACGACCCTTGAAGCGGGGAAAGTTGAGATATTTTGAAATTCAAGTGCCGGATGGAAAGCAAACCTGATCCGATTGAGACTTCCGAGTGGCAGAACAAGGAAGCGTGGCATCCAATCCGTTAGTCGAGCGAACCAGTCTGCCGACTAGGCCTCCCCCTCCGCCCTCCCCTCTCCCCCACTAAACTTACTCACCTTGCCTATCGCATGTTGGAGGAGCGCAGGGTGGGGGGAGAGGAATAGAGAATATAAGAAGCAAAACAGAATCAGATATTTTTCCGCATTAGAAACGCGAATGATCAAAATAAAATTGTGAATTAATTATAATGTTAAGTGCAAAATCATGAAGCGGACACAATGGGGCATGGAGCGGAGGCGGCGAGACGGACAGACGAGAAAAAAAGAGACGGAGAGACAGAGAGACAGAGGGGCAGAGGGGCAGAGCCGGAGGCCTGTGCGTGGAATTTAATATCGATAAAAATGTCACTCCATAAAAAATAAATCTTCTTTACTAATTGGATACGAAATGCGAATTGTGTGATGGGGATTGTGGAGAGGGGGGACGGTGGACGTCGGACGGTGGAGGGATCAAATGAGGCTTCCTTCTGACGATGACGATGACGACGACGATGATTAAATACCTCGACGTACTATAAAAATCAATATTGTTTAGCAATCTCAGCACGCAAATCGCCAGCACGTTGCCGTGGCAGCAGGAGGCGGTAGGAGGGGTGGCGGTGTGGCGGGGTGTGGGGTGTGGGGAGTGGCCTATAAGGGGACTGCTCACTAATTACCAAGTTACCAAGCTAAACATTCTGACGCGCGTCTGTCCCCCCCCTCCCCCCTCGCGCGCCTCTAATGCCGTCGTATCTGTATCTGTGTATCTGCTGGCTTGTATCTGTAGTTATTGGTCTGCTGAATGCGGTGCGGTATCACGTTTTTGCGGCAAGTGCAAACGCAACAAGTACCAGTGCCACAGCCAGTGCCAGTGCGTGGGTGGACACGAATTGGAAGCATTATTGTGGTAGATAAAGATACGCAGGATTGGTAGACCTCGGGCCTCGATTTATTTCCCAATTAAATATTTATTCGCCTTCCAAATACACTCCCAAAACTGACACACATCCCATGAACTATTCACATCGATTTATTTACTAATTGGCATTGGAATACACTTAAATTTGTCTGGAATTCTCTTCTATTGACTGCATTTTTCTTCGTTTGCAGCTTGCGAGACCCAAAGCCGAAGGAATTTGGAAATTGGAAATTGCGGTGAGCGAACTTTGGCCATCAGCTGTGGCAGCCCCAACGCCATGTTACGGGGGGAGGTCACATGTTGGTTACATATCCTTCGGATAGCACCCTCCCACATGGGGCAACAATGGAATAAGAACGACAAATACCTTATAAATAGACAATGCAAAACAGACAACAAAGCCACGACCACTCGTAACTGTTGACTTTTTCTGTTTCTTCTCTAAAATTCCGTAAAAGTCGAATCGATATTTTAAGAATTTATTAAAAGCCCACGTAACTTTCTTTTAATTAAACCCAAACTGTCGCTGGCACACGCGATACACCCAGCCTCAGCATCCGCCTCAGCTCTTCGTTCGGTTCGCAGACAGATTCAGGTCACTGGCTTAGTATCCTTGCTGGCAGCGAAGGCAAGACCATTAGGAGCAGTTCTCACTCTTGGCACTGAAAACTGTCGAGTGCGCTGATTTCTGCCATCTCCAGCTCCACGGAGGAGCTCGGGATCTGGCGGGGACGGGGACGGGGACTGAGGCAGTGGCGCAGAAATGCTGGCAGGCCTGCCAACAACTACATACAATGGCTATGTAACCTGGTTATTGTTGTTACCACTGCTCTGGCGGGGGGGAGGGGGGGAGCTATTATTGTTGTCGTTGTCACTGTTGACAATGCTCAAAATCAATACCTGCGCGGGCAAAGGGACTGCCGTATGTTGCCACTGTTTGGGCCCCCGTCCCTCGCTGTGCTGTGCGTAATTTACGTAATAATGAAAATGGCTTGATTAGGCGGAATATGCCTTGAAAAAACTGTCCTAAAGAATTTACCCCCCCCTTGAACCAACCCGAGAAGCAGCTGCAATCTCTTGAAAGCCTTTCCAAAAGTTCTCTCCGACAGTCAGGTGTCAACAGGAGAATGCCGCTGCAAGGCAACTGTCACTGGCACCCACTCTCCGGCATATGTACAGGATCTGTCAAGGAGAAAGCACTTTGGAGTGCTCCCTCCCTCCCTCCCTCCCTCCTTCCTGGGCAGCACATGGCGAGTGTTCCGCTGGAAGTCGACGGGCCTAAACAATTATAGTGGCAGCCGACTAGCGGAAATCACGTTTTTACGCTGCTGACGTTCGAGTGGCTATCGAGAGAGAGAGAGAGAGACCCGATGGTTGAGTCTGCAGCAAAGGGGAAGCATAGGGGGGGCATCGGAGGGTGTACAGCACGCGGAAGGTGTGTAAAGATTTATGACGTCGTTGGCGTCGCTGGCTTACACATGTTGCCCCCCTCAGTAGAACGACAAACACAAAAAGAATAACAATCCGCAGTTATATTTGTTGTCCCCCCTTCCCACTCCCCCCACCCCGCCGACCGGTTGGAACGTGACCACGGGGAACGCAGCGGCTTCCCAGTAGCTGGTGTTAATATTTTTATGTTCATGTGTGCGGGGGTCCACCTCCCGGCCTCTGGGATGCCTCTAGCCTTGGATGCATTTTATTCCCGCCTCCCTCCCTCTGCTACTGCAGAACTTTTATTAGTTCTGTCTTCGAGTCGTCAAGCAAAGGGCATCATAAAAATGAATGCAGTTTGAACGAGTCTTATTCTGGCCACGGTCCAAGGCACAAATGTGGCAAAAACTTCAAGTGCAGGGCCATCATATTCAGGCCCCTACGGCAAGAGAGGACTAATCATCAATTTGTTAAATGCTGATCCATCGCCAGCTCTTTGGCTGCGTCCTTGTCCCCATTAGCAGTCCGAAATGATGCACTTTAAAGCCCCAACAATCGGCAGCCCCATAACAACGACGTCGTCGCTCAGGCAGCTCGAATGATGAATGACGGCTGCAAGACACTTTGCAGCAGAGTGCCATTAAAAAGCATTTGCCAAATAAAAACGAGCCTTATAACACTGGGCAGTCGGCCAAGTGCCAAGCATTACCCCCCAAAAAACACACCCCCCCTCCAGGCCTAAAACAATTGAAACCGAGAGTAATGCTTCTGTGGGCCTCGTCTCGCGCAATTCAATTGAAATCTCTTTGGCGGCAGCTGGCATGCAATTAAAAACTCACTTTTTCTGGGGAGCTCCTAATGAGAAGGGTCGGGGTAGGTCCCCTCCAGGGCAGGGCAGGGCAGGGCAGAATATGAAGCAATAAGTTCTATCGATGGAGCTGCTTTGCTTTGAACTTTTCTGGTCATGATTTATGCCCATCAGACCGACCAGAACTTGCCAACAAGTTTCAACTTCCGCAGTGGAATACACATACATACATACATATGTACATATATCATGGGAGGAAGCCTCAACAGCACCATTGAAACTTTCAGAATTGTTTGCTCTCCCTCCCCATCCGACCGGCGGCAGAAGAAGCACATTCGATTTGTGTCAAAGTAAAACAAACAAGTAAAGACTTCATCTTGCAGTTGATTTCCTAGTACCCTCCTCCTCCTCCTCCTCCGAGTGGTTGGAGAGAGGCACACAGCTCGTATTTGATCTTTCCTGGGCAATGCAAAGAGTATGGAGCAATGATATGGCACTCGGGAAGAGAACCACAGCAGCAGCAAAAGTAGGTCAAGGCTTTCGATCTTGCCGTTTGCCATTTGCCTTTTTCTGCATTCGCTCTATCGCGGCGAAGGAGAACAGAAAGAAACAGAAAAGCGGTTTCAGCTTTGCTGGTGGGTGGAGAGGTAGGCAAACGAAGAGAGAGTGGGGACGAGTGTAACAATCGAATCCCAGAAGCTGCTCTCATATGAGTGTTTTTTTTTAGACGCGCAAAACGGGAGGGGGAACAAGAGAGGAATGGAAATCTATCACTTGAAGATTATATTATGTATCAATTAATCGAAATTGGTGAATTATTAAACATACTTGCGCCAGGAAAAGTCATATCCACTCCAAATAATCAAGAATCGTCCATTCCTCCTCCTTGTTGCTCGTATTCGTACTTCTATTTCAGCTTTTTTCACACACATCACACACAGCTAAAAACATACAGAGGGCATAAAACACGGAAGCACGCCAAAAAAACAAAAAAAAAACAAAATACCGTAGCGGCGAGTGGCTGCTAATATTTGTTGCTATATTTATTGCAATATTTATTGCATTTTTCAGCAATTTTCCACCTATTTAATAGCGCACTTAACACTTTCACTTTTTCCGTGCCGAAACAAACGCGTGATTTATGCTTAGTCTGGGCGATCTCTCGTTCTCCCATTCTCACTCTCGCATGCATTCTCTCTTTGCCTTATAGTGATGCTCGCGTCGGTTGTTGGTGTGTGGGAGAGGGAGGTTGTTTTGCTCTTGATTAGGCAGTGATGATGTCACGCGACGAGCCTCTCAAACCTTGCCCTTTACATTCATACACCTCAAACATACTCTCTCTCTCTCTTAGTTCACACACCGAACATGTACATATGTACATGTGTACATGTGTATACATATGAACATTCTGAGGTTTCTTAGCTTAAAACACTTGCTCTTCTTAACTTTTAACATTCCTCGGCAAGTTGAAATCAAAGTCCCAGAGTGCTAAAGTGCAAAATATGCGAGTAATTAAGCATAACATGTCACCAAATTCCCAAAATTCTGTATCTGAAAGAGCCGACGGCAAGACAAATTGAAGTTCAAGCAAAAGTGCAATAAAGACGGAACATAAAGACGAAGACTCGAGAAATGTGTTGCGGTTGATATTTTTAGAAGCATATGAAGGGAGTGGCGTGGGTGCGACAGCATGTGCATGTCGGACGGAGCCTGTGCTGTCGTATGTTTTAAATTGCTTTCGCTTGTACAGATGTTGCAATATGCAAACAAGCGGAACAGCAGCCACCGCCAGGAACGACGACTCGACTCCCTTGCAAGGTGGCGGCACCTGGGCGGCGGGAGGGGAAAACTGAATCATTTCTATGCATTTCACAGACGGCGCGGCGTGGCGTGGAGTGGCGTGGCGTGGCGTGTCTGCTGCAGTCACAATTTCTCATTTTTCCCAGCAGCAACAGGAACAGAGCCACAACTGATAAAACAATTTCTTGCTGCGTAAATACTAGACTCGTAAGATTCTATTCCATACGATAACTAGGAAAAAGTATTTGCATACAAGTAAATTACACTCTCCCCAGTTGTCGCAGTTGTGGTTTACTGCTGAGCGATAATTCGATTTGAGACAACCGCAGGGGAGTGAAAAATAATATCCACCTTACTCTGGGGGCCATGCATAGGTACATATACGATTATGTATGGCGTGCCATGACTTCAAATTTAATACAAATAATAATAATAGATCCTGCAAGTAATACTGATTTGAGTTGCAAGTTCTTTGGCTTAGTGGAGAGTATGGACTGCCCCACTTTCGAGCTTTGCTTCAGTTGACGCAATTTTAATGGAAATGCGAGGTAATTCAGATTGGCTTTCAACATGCTAATTGCTGCTGGCCATTTTTAGTCTTTGCATTGTGCCCCATCTCTTTGGCTGTTGTAATAATTACAATTATTGTTGCTTTGCAGCGCTGACTGTGTACGCAACAATAAATACGGTAACAGCTGAATAAATTAAGCTCACAATCGGCGCAGCAAGCAGTGCGATTACAGTTGCTCAAACAATGCCGCGCACCTGCCCCCTTCAGTGGCAGTGGAGTGGAGTGGAGTTGTTCAGAGTTCAGCGAAATGCTTTAGGCCCAGCAGAGCATCAAACTCACTCAAATGTTAAATCAAAAACTTTTCTAGTGTCAGATCCCAGATAGATGTTCAACGAGAATTGTACAAAAATTTTTGTTGTTGGCTGATGGCTAAAGAATGGTTAAAACACTGCAATTAAAACAGCTTTGCAGCAATTAAGAGAATTGTACGGAAACTGTGAAGTATTTTCAGATATTTCAGAGTTGTTGGAGCACAAAATTCCATCCACAGAAGCGGTAAAATGTGTACAGCTTGATGGCTTGTGGCTCTAACTGGCTTAACTTAATTCTGCTCTCCCGCCTTCCACTTCTTTCAACCAAATAACACTCACCAAAAATCTGGTAATTGCTTGGTCAATTTTTAATTTTTAATTTTCTACAGTTTTATACCTTTATCCATTATCAAAGCTCTTGGCACTTGGACACTCGCCTCTTGTCGCTTCTGTGGTCGAAGCGAAGGTTTCTTCTGCTCATCTTATATGCAAAGCCCCTCGAAAATCAAGTATTTATTTATTTCAAAAAACATGTGAGGCAAACAAGCAAACAGTCACGGCACGGACACTAGAAAGAAACTGAAATAAAATATCCCAAAATGATTATCATTCGAAGCACGTTTTAGCAAATCACGTTTTGCCAGGCAAACAATCGAATAGATACAAAAACTATCTTTTATTTTTAGCTTTTAATTTAAATAAATTCGATATAATCATTATTAATTCGCTATCGAAGATGCAAAAGTATCTCAAGAAACAAAACACAGCTGAAAAGGCTCTTTGTTGCCATTAGAACAGAGCCACTTGTGGATCTCTTTGTGCATTTAATGAAGTAAACAAAGGAATATATCAAGTGACGACTCAAGACTTGTCCAATTATACATAAATATCAAGTATGTGCATGTGTTTTTGATTTAAATAGAAATAATGAAGAAGACAGAAATGCTTGGGAAAACATTTCGCGGCGTGGCTGGCAATTGGCCAAAATGAATAAAAACATTCTTATAAAAATAAACAATAACAAGTGCAATGGCCAACAAGATGCGCCACGAATCGAAGTGATGATAAACATTTTAACGGGCCACAAAGCAGAATGAAAAGGGAATATACTCAATACTAAAATGGAACATTTCGGAGGAATTTCCCTCTGATCACCTGGTTCATTTTTTAAAGAATTCCGCGCATTTTCGAGATTAATCCCTCAGCGACAAGCCCATATATTATGGCATACCGGCTATCGTACATCCACTCCACTCATGTGTGCAGGCAAAAGGCAAATTCAAAATTCAAAAACCGAAAGCCAAAGTCAATCATGTCATTTTTCACTTTTGTTGTTCTGCATTCAACCAGAGACACACAGATACAGACGAGACGCGTGTACGAGTATCTATGTGAAGTTCATGCTTATACTCGTATGCACACTTTTGGCAGCAACTGTCAGGGTCATTATCCTAACCAGACTGACTGTTGTTGGTGCTGCTGGCATTGCTGTTTGGCACATGCTCGTATAGTTCTGTATACAGTATGCGATTGCAGTCGTATTCAACCCATCTATGTATCTCACCATGTTTTTCCTGTTTGGCATATGCAGATACATACATACACGTGTATGTATTATCTGGGAATATTGTTGAAACAGATCTCATAGCTAAACAATTCTTTGAGTCCTGTTTAGTAACTTTTCATGGGGAGAGAGTGATTAGGGTCCAGAGGGAACCCAATTCGAACTACGAACTCCCTGAATCTGATTAAACGTATCCGTAGATGCCACTCCCAGCCGTGCATGTGTAGAAGCGAATCGGCGGGTAACCCACACAAATCGCAGGCACTCACTTATTTGCACATAAATAGCCGTCAAAATATAGTTGGTATTCAACTCGAGGCCCGCTGCTGGCTAGGACTTCGCTGGAAACCTTATTTATTATGGCCCCTTGAGAGGCAGAAAAGTAATCCCAGTAGGTGTCTCAGACCAGGTCCGCGATTCAGCCCAAGACGCACCGTGCACATGCAAATGTTTTATAGTGCCTGTGTCTGTGGCAGTTTCTTATTGTGTTTTGGATAAAAAGTCGTATGAGAGAACTGGTTGCTGTCCCAGCCCCAGCCCTCTTTTCATGTCCGACCGAACCACTTTTCAGTGTCAGGCGCACGCCCACGCCCACGCCCACGCCTCTGCCTCTGCCGTGCTTTGCCCTGCAGCATCATCCTGGCCACCCATAAACCGTTGGCGGGGCCACAGTCTCTGTGCATTGGCCTTCAGAAGACGTTGGCAGAGAGAAAGTAGCTTGACCCGAAATGTAGGCATAATTTTTAATAACTTAGTATACTCTCCAGCAAGACTTGGATTAACGACAAGTAATGCTTCATTTCTTCAATGGTCTTCCATTGGCGGCGCAGTACTGATAAGGCCCTTATCGGGTTAGACATTCAAAATAACAAAATAACCAAAATAGGCGCTCGTAAATGGATGGCCGATCGTCGACTACTGAGAGTTTTCGAATAGGCTACTTATCGCCAGATAAACACGGCCCTCCAGGTTGTTGGCCAAAATTCACATTTCGATTCCGCTATTTTTCATTTTAGTTGCCGAATCGATCTTGAGTGGACGCGGAGGAGAGGCAAATGCCCCGAGTTGATTAAAAATACCTAAACAGCGTCAGAATTTGCTCACGTCATGTATCTACAAGAAATGCTTACGCTGGCCTGCCTGGTCCTCCTGCTCGGTGGTCTGCCGCATCTCACGTCAACAAGCACGACCACCACCCTGGTGGCCGCCATGTCGATTGCCAATCAGGACCTGGAGCGCTACTTTAGAGCAGCCAATGCCACGCACACCTTCGCCAGCATGGAGGAGCGGATTGCCGTGGATGTCTACAACTACGCCTTCCTCAACTGGTCATATGTGGACCACGGCAACACGCTGTGTGAGACGGATTTTGCCCTGGAGCAGGCTCGCTACGGCGAGGGCCGGGTGCTGAATGTAACTGGCCGCTTGATCCACATCAGTGCCACCGACAACGTTAGCGATGACTACGCCTGCACTCCCTATATCCGGGGAACTATGGGCGCCGCCATGCCCGACAAGGGGGTGGTCTGGATTGCCCTGGTTAGACGCGGCCGCTGCACATTCGAGGAAAAGGTTAAGCATGTCTATCAGCAGAACGCCGCCGGTGTCATTATCTACAACGACAAGCAGGTGACTCAGCTGGAGAAGATGCAGATCAAGGGCAAGACGCGTGAGTTTTGTGGTGAAAGCTCTTGAATTCGGAATACATATACATTATTGCAGGAAACATTGCTGCTGTGATAACGTATCAAAATATCGGACAAGATCTGGCAATGACTGTTGATAGGGGATACATTGTGAACATATCGATAATCGAGGGACGCCGTGGTGTGCGAACTGTCAGTAGCTTAAACCGGTAAGTTATAAGTCTTCAGTTATAAAAACTGTATAAAAAAACGACACAAAAGTGGCCTCGAATTTAATGGAGACGCCGGGGTTTGAACCCGGGACTTCTCACATGCGAAGCGAGCGCTCTACCACTGAGCTACGTCCCCTTGAAATTGTCAGCTGTTCAAAGCAATTGTTCAACTGGGACTTCTATTACGGTTGCAATTTAGAAATTACAGAAAAATTTCATTGTCGATTCGTTTGCAAATTCAAATAATTGATTGGTAAAAAGCTGAACAAAAAATTTATTTTTGTGAAGAAATATGCATACCGGACAGCCGACGTTCAATTTATTGAATTTAATAAGTACTTTCCGTTCCGTTAATAAATGTTTGCAAATAGGTAACGTAATTCGTTTACGATTTAAAAATCGTCAAGAAAAAAATTAATAGTTCTAATCTGAGAATGGAGACGCCGGGGTTTGAACCCGGGACTTCTCACATGCGAAGCGAGCGCTCTACCACTGAGCTACGTCCCCTGGCATCCAATTCGAGACAAACGTGCTATTACCGCCCAGAGAACTCTCACATCTTACAGCGCACTGCTTTGTTAACAAACGTCGGTAACGCAGTGAAACAATTTTTCATATTTACGACTCGTAAATACTCTTTTTCTTTAACACGAATTCCTTATGGAACAAATTTTAGATTGAAATGGATTTTTATGCCAAGTTTTCTTAGATTAGTGCTGAAAGTACCACCGCATTAACACAAAGTTATGAACAAATTTGGGATCCTTAGAAATCAAATCAATATTTGAAGGGACAAAAAATAAAAAAATAAGACTTGTTTTATATGGAGACGCCGGGGTTTGAACCCGGGACTTCTCACATGCGAAGCGAGCGCTCTACCACTGAGCTACGTCCCCATGAGCCATGCGTTCGCCAAATGCTTTAGTCGACAGCAGCCAAGATATGCTTTATAGACTTGGGCTAGCATTGAGTTACATTTTGAACTCCCGTATTAACGGTTCATAATTCCTTTTCAGAACTTCAGTGTTATTCGTCTCCATCTCGTTCATCGTACTGATGATAATATCGCTGGTATGGCTCATCTTCTACTATATTCAGAGGTTCCGTTACATGCAGGCGAAGGATCAGCAATCGGTAAGGAAATCTCCTTTAAATACATATAATGACTGTCTCCATGTAAATTCTAACTTCTAACTTCTTCTACCTTTAGCGCAATCTGTGCTCTGTTACCAAAAAAGCCATCATGAAGATACCAACGAAGACGGGAAAAATAAGCGATGAGAAGGACCTGGACAGCGATTGCTGTGCCATATGCATTGAGGCCTACAAGCCCACGGACACAATACGCATATTGCCGTGCAAGTAAGCGAAAGCATCTTGAATCCATTCAAAGTATAGACTAATCTAACTAAATACATTCCCTTAGGCACGAATTCCATAAGAATTGCATCGATCCGTGGCTCATCGAGCATCGAACCTGTCCGATGTGCAAACTAGATGTGCTCAAATTCTATGGCTATGTGGTGGGTGATCAAATCTATCAAACGCCCAGTCCACAGCATACTGCGCCCATTGCTGCTGTCGCTGCCGCCCAGCCCTCCTTTGAGGAGGTTCCTGTCATTGTAGTGGCTCTATCACAGGCCCAGCAGCAGCAGCAGCAGCAGCAGCAGCCTCTGCAGCAACTACAGGCCAGCAACATGAGTAGTTTTGGTGCTAGCTATTTTCATCCGCGTAGTCCTAGTAGTAGTAATCAGCCCCAATTGCAGCAGCTTCCGCAACAACAACAACAGCAACAGCAACATCAGGGGGCCATGGAGCGCGTCCGACGGAACTCAGCCCCGGCTACAATGCCGCATGCTATCATTTGTACTGCCAGCCATCAGGTCACTGATGTTTAAGGTGTCAGCAGGCCACCCACATCTAAGTCTTAGAAACTACTTACCGTGTAAATAGCGAGCGCCAGCTGCCTCTGCAAGCAGTGCAGGCATTCGAGAGTAAGCAGTCGTGGTGTGCCATGAGCGGTTAGATTTGAATATCAAGAACCAGAACCAGACCAATGTTCATCACTTTTTTTTGTCAGGACCTTTGTATTGTATTTTTATAGCAAAATGGAAGGGAAACAATTAGAGCGGGTACACAGGGCAACCTACCATCCGCTACCAGTAGAGGAGAAATCGTCATCAAGCCGCAACTGTCTATTAATTTTAAATAATTTATGATAACACAAGTTGTAATATGAGATTTTGTAAGTAAAAAAATGTAAAATTAGGTACTCTTTTATAAATTGGTGTGAAGCGATGTGTAAGTTCCTGTTCAACAAAGGACACGAACTGCAGATCATCCAGTGATTAATGGGCCGGACAGCTACATCCCAATCCATCAGCTGCTGACCGAGAGTAACACAAAGGCTTTATTTAAAATGATATATATACACTCGTTTGTAAATAAGTTCATTTGAGAACAGTGTACTTAAAAATGCTGACCAGAAGACTTCAGTTTTAGTTTCTACAACAATCCCACGCACACTTAAACATACAAATAACCGCTGGAAGTTCAACTTGAAAACGGAAATATAATTGCATCACGTAGAGTTTTAAGTTAAATGTTTAAGTTCTGATTAAGCGTACCGATTGTCGATAAAAGTAGATGCAAATAGTAGCGTACTCGTACTACAATAACTATACCTACCTAATATACCTACATACCCACACGAGTATGTATGACTACACTTATAAACAATGACTATATCGTATAGACGTAGTAGATTAAAGTATATACTTAAATGCAATCATTTGTAGCCTGATTTGCTGATCAACGGCATTAAGAATCCCTGCCGATTACATATACATACATATATGCATATACCAGCATACATACATACAACATAGTAACATATACCAATCGCACAGCGCACACACTTAATCATAGATGTCTATAGTAATATCGAAGGTGCCAAAGTATTTGCTTTTAGTTGTTCAAATTGAATAAATCTACAAAAAAAAAGATATTTCAATTTACATTAATTTACATCCTGAAACGTTGGTACGAGTATTACATTTTTATTTTTTGTTTGGATATCTTGAGCAGGTTTTACTGCTGTGCGACATTCCAAAAATAATATGCTGGATTATTTTAATATTCATATCATTTGGTTTTTATTTTTTGTTTTCAAGCTCGAAACAACCCGAAAATCAACTGCCCCCAAATAGCGAAATCAAATAAGGTAGAAATGGTCTTGTAAGACGATATTGTATTGTTAGATGTATCGGAAAACCTTATAAGATTTCCGTTTGCTAGTACCCTTGAACGAATTGTGGACCCAAAACTATTTAAGAACCAAACCAATAAAATAACACAAATTATTTAAAAATTGCCGCTTGTTTGCTGTCTAGAATCGCTCGCATCATAAAGCTTATTGAAACTTATGGAACCAGAACTAGAAAGGGTACCATATGGCCCGCTTTTCTTTTGCAGTTTCTGGGCAGCGAAGAGAGCATACTGGAATACCAGCCAGATCGTCCGGATGTCGCAAGAATTGTGGAAGTGGGCCCCCAGGGCTCTGGCACGGACCCCGGTCAGGGTCCACCTTCGACACGCCCCACTGCCTTGGCCGATCTCATTCGCAGTCGGGATTTCGTGATAGACTTTCCTCGGGTGTTCGTCCTCGAAAGTGGCAGCGTGGTGGGCGCCCGCGAAATGCTTTTCCCCAGCCGACTACCAGAGAGGTCGCAGAGTTCGTTGTCGCTCCGGCAGGCGCGAGACTGGATGAGCCTGATGACCAACAAGCTGGAGGAGCAGCAGGGACTGCGACGTCTGCGAAAGGATGAAATGCAGCAGGTGGCCAACGCAACGAATAGCAAATAACTCCACATTCACTACCTTTATTTACCAATTTTTTCCCTGCAGCAACTTCTAGGCGCCCGGGAATCGGCCCGCCATCGTCGCTCGCGCTCCGCGGATGGTCGCTACTCCACCGGGTGCTTTGGCGGCCGACAGCGCCAGCTTTCGGTCCAGGGAACCCAGCTTCAGCCGGACATCCCTCAGATTCCTCGATCGAGCTCCTCCCAATCCCTGCAACAGCTGACGGATGCTTCGTACGCTCAGTCCAGTCAGCGGCAGCGGGAGACCTTCGACTTTGCCAGAACGCGGCGCCGCTTCATGGGGCGGGAAAGCGATGAGATATCCTTGCGCCCATTACCCAGGCGAGGGGGTATGGTAGGCACTGGGGGAACAGCTCCTGCCCAGGCCAATCGTGAGAGGGAGGTCAGCGGAAACGGAAACGGAGACTACATCACCATTCAGGTGAATGGGGAAGGCGTCGATTTCAATGAATGAACTGTTTGCCTAGCCCCTAGGCCCAATTGTATTCCTCAAACTATTTGCTCTCTCGCAACTGTATAAAATATATTGTATAGAATATTCTTGTTATAGAAATTGTTAATAAAATGTTAATGCTCGTACCGATAGCCAGTTACGACGAGTGGGTCGATAAATTAGAGAAATCTTATATGCTACCTTCTACATTCTCTACTTAGCACTCTGCACACTTCTCTTGGCCTCACATACGAAACTTGGGGCGATTCCATTAGGGACTTGCGCGTGCCTCCAACATGGGACGCAGCTCTGCTGATCCCAGGCCAGTGATATGCTGTTGTGGCTTACGCAGACCTGGCCAGACAGCGAGGCAGCAGCAAGAGGCAGACTGCGGACAGGCCCCAATTCGACAGCCAAAGGGAGATCCACCGAGATCTGATCCCACCGAAAGCGAAAAGCAAGAGAAATAGAGCACAAGTTATGAGGAAGCCGAGCGGTTGAAGTTTGCCGCGGCCAACGACAGCTAATAAGAATTCATCATGTGCTCCATGCTCCACGAGAGGCAGAGGCAAAAACTCTCCCAGGTGGAGGCACAGCGTCCCCTGCACGCGTCGTAATTGCAACGCAACAGGAGGGCTGAAGATCTTCTCGTCCAGGAGCAAACCAGAGCAGCCGCAGCCTCAGCCCCGTCGTCGTCGTCATCATGGCCCCTCGATGTTTATAAACTTAAAGTCTGTAATCACATTAGGGCATGTAGTCCGAGAGCTCCGGCTGGCCAAAGTTTTGCTGCTTTATCACCTGACGGGGCTTCGCTTCTTCACTTCTTCGCTTCTCGGCCTGCGCATCGATTCCTCTCCTCCTTGCATATCCCACGATCTCGATCGATGACAGCACGTACGAGTTTTTCTCCCCCCTTTCGGAGACCGGAGAGCAGGCTGCCGCCTCGCCGGCTTCGGCTAGCTTGGGGCACGAGAGGCGTGACCGAGGTGGGCGTTACACTGCACATTCATGATAAAATTATTATATTGTTGGAGCTTCATGCCGCCGCTTTAAGGAAGCCGTGGGTAAGAAACAGCAACAGAAACAAAAACAAAATAAAGGGGGACGACATCTACATAAATATATCCCTTGGAGGTGTTGATGTCTATTAGGGTTCAAGAATACGGGCATTTATTTCATTGCAGTCGCAAGAACCTAAGAAGAAGAAAGTTTATAGTTTTTTTTTCCAAGGATCAGGCTCTAATATGCTCAGGATGTTGGCCACCAGAGAATCGTTCCTGGTTAGGCTTGCATCCCATAAATAAATAGACGCACGACAAAAACAATGCACCGTGTTAATGTGGCAAGTAGGAGGCAATGCCGGTGAGGCGAAGCAAATCGCACGGGCGGCAGATGTGGCTCCGTTCCCGGGCTTCACTTCGTTCATGGTTTGGGACCAGGTCATTCCACAAAACGATCGCCACTGCCGTCGCTAATCTGCTGTAAATGAGTAACATGAAGCAATGGGAATCGTTACTGAGGCTCAGGCCTCACGATCCTCCATATGCTCGATGGATCCTCATCCTCCCAATCGGAACTAATTGTGGAAACAATGAAATCATTCTACTCCACGTCCCTACGAAGTGTGAAGGCAAATCCAATCATAGACTGAGCGTTCGCCAAATAACATATATGTATGTATGCTCTAACAAACAGTGAGAAGGAGCGGGACAGAGTGGCCGTTTTCGATGGATGTGGCATTAAAATGATTGTCCAAATAGCAAACAGTCCAAGAGAGGATCACTGATCAGCAGACAAGATGATCGCCAAAAGGCAGAGGACAGCGCAAAAATGGCGATTCGATGCGCTGACTTGTTACGTTTGCCGATCAACCCCGAGCTGGCTGTCGGCCCTCGGCCCTCGGCAGGGAGCCGACCTGAAGCTGGGTGTGGTGCCACTATTGTCAACTCTGTGCTATTGCCATCTTGCTCGCTCTCGGCCAGTATTGGCATGCGGGCATGCGGTCATGCTGTCCTGCCGTCCCGCTATCCTGCTGCTTGGCTCGTACTATTACATCATGCAGTGATCACATTTGTCATTACCATGGCACCGAAAAAGAAATCCTGCGAGTCCTGCACATGTCAACAGTGTATCAATTCACGTATCAATCCTTTGATGTTATCATAGGCCACACATTCAATCACATCGCTCTGCACATACCCCCTCCTGCCCCTCCAGCGAGTGGCCTTTTTTTGTACCCATGTTCTGGCGGATGGCTGCTTTTAAAGGCGACAATAGCTGCATGAATTTTCTCTTTTAGGTTTCCCATTTTTTTTCTTTTTTCCACATTTTTTGCCCCTAGCCTTTGACAAAAAACGTTGCTCCAATTTCAACAGCAAAAATCGATATCTTTACTTGCTTTTGAGTGCACTTAATGTTGGGTTGCCCCCTCGGACCTTCAATTGGCAGCCCGGTGGGTTTACTAAGTGCTTCATTCAGCCGAGGATCAGCTTAGATGAACGGACAACCCAACGCCATCATCGTTGGGGAGGCTGCCTTGCCTGTGTTAGCCTTAAGGTCCTGGCCTGGCTCATGAATATGTTGCTTGGTGGGTTGCTTGCTCCGTCTTGTTTCTGTGAGTGATTCATAGGCCAGTGCTCTCCGCAGGCAATCTGTCTTGCTGTTGCTCTTGCTGTCGATGGCGATCATGTCGATTGTTCGCTGATATGAATATAAATGGGCGAGTATTGCGCTGATTTGTCGGCTCAACTACAAAGGCAAGTCTAACGGCAATCTGGCGGAGGTCTTTTGTTATTTCACTGCCTGATCTGCCTGATCTGCCTGATCTGCGATCGGTGCGATCTTGATCTTGTAAATCAGTCCGTTAAGCGATCCATCAGCATTTTCCAGTTGAAGTGAACTATATTTTAGCAGCGAGAGTTTAAGGCATAGTCATGGCTACAGTACAGCATCATTCTTCTGATTATACTCGTACATACCGTACACGATCCTTGTTCATTCACAAATGAAAGAATGGCACAACCTGAGCACAAGGGTAATCCATAAATTGTCACAAAATCAAAAATCAACCAAAATATTTTTCAGGAACTGCCTAAGTCGTTTCCTGCCAGAGCCTCTGGAGTTTTCTGTTGAAATCAGAATATCCGATTATATAGATCAATGCGATCAGCGGACAAAAACAAGCTGGCGAAAAAAGACAAGAAAACGGCATGTTGTCAAACGTTCGAATGGCTCAGCCGCAGACCGCAGACGGCAGACCGAGCTTAAGTCCCAGCTCGCATCCGAATCCGAATCCGATGAGGGTACAAGTCAAGGAACGGAAAAACGAGTCAAGGAATCAAGGCATCAAGGCATCAAGGCATCAAGACTTGACCGAAGGCAACGTGGGCGTTGCTGCATTTTGATTGAAATCAAACACAAAAGCAGATTACAATTTATTTATTTGGCCAAGCGTGTGAGAACAGCGAAGAGGCAAAAGCAGGCACCCTCGAATGCGCGTGTGCAGCGGATTATCCTTTGCACTTGTTACACATAGGCGACCGCAGAGGCAGGTCCCGGGAGTCTCGGGAGTCTCGGGAGTCGGCCACGGAAAGGCGACAAAAGCAACAAAATTTAAAGAGGTTCAAGAGCAAGAGCTCTTTGCGATAAACTCATCACAGACAGGTCGACAGGACGGCAGACACACCGCGGCGTGGCACTGATCCTGCTGGCCTGAGCCGCTCCTAAGTCGAGTAAACGCCTACTGGCCCAAAAGTCATGTCATGTTGTGGCAAAAAGGATTTGCCCTGCCACTGACACAATTTCTTGCACCTCCTGCCTCTGCGAAGCAACCTGCTGTAGATCAAGATCGTCCTCTGATCCTTGCCCTCACAAAGCCCTGAGCCCGCCACAGTTTGGCAATATTTATTGGTTTTATTGGATTTTCAGCTTAGGCCCAGAGCAGTGCGCAATCTTGGATGCGAATCTGCCATGAGGAAAAGTGAGGTACTAGCCACCCCCCAATGACTTTTCGTCCTGCGCTGTCACCTCCTTGTGCGTAGCAAATTAAACTTGGTCACGGCGTATTACTTCGTCTCATATTATCGGAAACTTCTACGCATTTTGCGGACATGGTCGAGTTTTCCGGGGGTCCGGAAAAGATAAGCAAGGTGTCGGTAGGTCTTCATTGAATAATGAAATGTGTGCAAAATCGTAATTCCTTTAATAGTAGCACCTACAGAAATAATGATTTTGAGTAGTGTAGATTATGGTATTAGCAAACAGCTTTTGCATTCCATTTATTGAAATGGAAAGAACATTTTTTCCTAAGGACTCTTTTCCGACTTGAAAGAAATCCCATAATGTAAATCCAATTATAAATGCCACATCAGAATTGCAATGGCTTCCGTTGTTGTTGCTCGCAATCCATGATGGCTGCCGTATTGAGGGGAAAATCAGAGTTTGCAACCCCGACTGGAAAGTGTCGTACTACTTGGATCGACTTTTGGCTGGAGCGCGGTCACACCAAGCGTTTATAACTGCCCAAAGCAAACATCCACCGAGCAGATCGAAATAAGCGTACAAATAATCCATCTTTCTGCTAAGCAAGCTGCAGGCGCTGTCCTGACACACGGCCTGGCGCGACGACCCCTTGCCACCGCCAGTTTCCGCCATCAGGATCCGGGTAGGCAGCTGCCGGAGAGGCCAAGGCAGGAGAAAAAAGTGTCAAAAAATGTTTCGTTTTAGATATGTTGAAAAATAATGCTCCCGCTCCCGTTCCCGCTCCCGTCTTTGTCCTTTTTCCATGATTTCTGCACGCTTCACGCCAATTTGTGCGCCTATCAGCTAGCTGACGGCGGTGGTGACGCTGACGGTGGTGGTGGTGGTGGTGGTGGTGATGGTACACGCAGCTCCGCTCAGGCCGCTCCCAGGGCCGTACTGCGTTTTCCAATCGGTATCAGCTTCAACTACCACATCCTTTCGCATATTGTTCCCATTTTATCCTCCCTGTTCCACGCTGGCTCTGGGAATCACTTTCAATGCCACGAAATATAATTCATTTAAATGATTGGGTTGTTTGTATAGCCAAATGGAGTGGAAGGAGGGGAGACGGAGAGCTGAGAAATGGTTGCCGTGGAAATTTAGTTTTCCAATCGCAGGCAGACTTGGGTTTTGCAGAGGACATAAGGATATATGATATATGGTTGGTGGGAAATGCCTTACAATAGTTGAGTGAAATTTTCTGCTGTACCTGACAGATCGCTTAGGCAGAAAACTGAATCTGAATGTCGTCGCCGCATGGCGCATCCAATGTGAGAGCTTTTGGGAATCCAGTCATCTTTGAAAATGGTAGAAATTACAAGCAATTGACATAATAACAAACTTACTCCCCCTGTGCGTTCTGAAGGAGAAAGAGCGGGCCCGGGCTGTAAGCGAAACTACTCGAAAGTACGAGTACTCGTGCTCGGGAGAGCACAATACAATTACAAATGCCAGTTGGCGGGTCGGCGAAAGATCAAAGCGAGGCAAAACCGCTGCGCAGCCAAAGAAATAACAGAAAATAACGTGGCCAGCGTGCAACAATAACAATGGCAATAAAGATAAAAATAATAAAATATAAGCCAAGGAAAAATCATGTACAGAAAAATGGCACAGACACAGCGGCAACAAGCAGCATCGCAGCATCGCAGCACCAATGCCAATACCAATACCAACACCAACTTCAACTCCACTCGACTCAACTCGACTCGACTCGACAACTTTCCCAAGCAATATGCAAATATATCATAGCCGGCTAGTTACCCTGATGGATGGTACAGCCAAATGGTTCATGAGTCATCCGCAGTGGTGGCCGCTCACTCGATACCAGGATACCACGATACGACGATGCCACAAACTGAGAGCAGGTACGACACCAAAGTTACGGTTTGATCACAAGTTGAGCGTAAAATATGCTAAAGATCATTCGGGTGTCAGTGACTGTGTGTGCCGGCAAATAAGCGTAAAATGATCAAAGACTCTTCGCGCGCTATGCCAAGTCCACAATCGTTCTGTACTCTACTCTACTCTACCCTTCTCTCTATCCCCAGAAAGGTAACTTTATTCTTTATTCTGCTGCCACGCTGTGGCATACTGCACGTATACTTGCTACGTGCGCGCATTTTGCAAAATAACATTCAATTTGTGCAACCTGATCAAGCAATTGCATCAACCGCTGATCGATGATCACCCAAAAGCAGGCTTTAATAAATAATCAAAGTACTCGATTGTAATCACATTTCGCGATCCATATTTCGAGAACCCTTAGCTCTTTCGCTTGGCGTTTGTGCATATTTTTACGCTTGCTTAAAGCTGCCGAGTGCCGGGCTCAAAGAAGATCACCGACGAATCGGCTCTCCCCCCGTCCCCTCCGCACTACTCGATCTCCATCTGCATCAGCGATGTAAATTACATGTTGGCCACTTTGATGATTTCTACAATTGCTGGCCAGCATCAGCAGCAATAACAACAATTTGTAGTCGCTGCAGACAGGCTGGCTGCCGCAGCCTCAGCCGCTGCATGCCGCAGTCCAATTGGCCCAAGCCGGCAACGAAATCACAGCACAGCTGCACTACCATTATTCAGTCGTTCTTCCACAGCTCCGGCTCCGTCTCCGTCTCTGTCTCTGTCTCCGTCTCCGGTGTCTGGTCTTCTCCCGGTCGAAGTGGTTTCTTATTGAATTATAATGTTATTTGGTGGTCGTTGCCGTTACCGCTGCCACTGCCACTGCCTCTTCTCCATCTACGTCATCGACTGCGACGCGCAGACTTTGTGGAGGCAAAGATCGCCTAAGGGGATCCCCTCCAAATCGATGGGTAAGGCTCGTTTCAGCGGGATATTAAGACATTTCAGATGGCAAAGTGAGAGTAATCCTAGTTGCATCGATCGATACAGTAACCCTCTTGTGTTCCAAACCACCTGCTGAACCAGCCATCACATGTCAGCGACTCCCAAGAATGCTGCGGGTCTAATTTAAAAGCTCGCATGCGTAACTCCAACACCAAGTGGTTTTCACTATCAAGTTTTCAACGCGATTCGATCAAAATTCAGGCGTAATTGCCCTGGAGCGATTCTGGAGCAGTACAGAAATGAGGAACAGGACCGGCAAAGGGCCACCCTCGGAAATGAAGACGCAGAGGAGCGGCAACCGGAGGTTGTGTGAACCGAAAGCCAGCCCTTGCACAGTGCCGAAACAAAGCAGAAAGAGATACGCTCTAAATTTGCGTTACGTAACGGAATTTAAAGCGTTCCTTATCAGATTGGTTTTGATGTTTTATCAACGCTCGCCCGCCTTCCCTCGGCCGCTTCCTTCACAGTTGTTGCTCGGTTGCGCCATTTAATACGTAAATAATTTTTAATGAATATATGATAAATTTTTTTGGCGTGTGGTTCGAAAACAAGCGCATGAGTACGTGAAAAATTAGCGGAAAATTTCCACACCGTCAACACTTGAAAATTGTGTGTGTTTTTCGGCTGCTGATGTTTGTTTCGGTGCGGATCATTGGATCGACGCGACGTTGGCTATCGGTAGCAATTAACGGTTGCAACTCGGATTAGACACGTACGATTTGGTATAAGATTAAGCCGTCAAGTTGTCAGAGTAATCAGCAGAGTGGATTAAGGTCTAGAACTTTGAATGTGGTTTATATAGTATCCACCAACCAACTGCAATTGCTCATCAAGTCGTCCATCAACGCGGTCTCCGATCATCAATCAAAATTCAGCATTTCGAGACAAAGCGACCACAAACTGAACTCAGCTACCGGAGCTACACTCTCAGCCAAGTTGGCCACACAGGAAGTTGGCTTTGAGCGAAAGAAGGAATGAACAATTCGCATGCTACCGGCTACCGGCAAGTGAGGGCTCACTATCGAAAACGCATAAATCACGATCATTTTCAGACGGTTGGGCCTTTCAACAGCTTTGTCAAATGTGTGCCGCATCGGAACTCACACTCAGCTCTCGACTGCCACACAAATTAAATTTGTATAAAAATATCCAAGTTGGTGGGCCCGGACCCAGGGACGAGCCGACAGGACAAACGAAGCCGCAGGCTACTGTATGGCAGTGCAGGGACAAAGTGAGACTGCCCCAGGCAGGAAAGAACTCCGCTCCCCAGGACGAGCTGGGCGATCAATTATGATTGTCACAGTTGACACACATTATCGCCCTCGTAGTGACGTAGTGGGCCCGAAAGAGAACTAGGGAACCTGTCGTCGTGGCAGGACTCTTCCCATTCTTCAGTGTTTCAAGACCCTGGCGATATGAACTAATTGATGTTTTCATTTAGGCACTCGGACGACCCGGAGAACGTATTCATTCTAGGTGGTAAGTGCGACGCCCGCTGTGCACACATAATTGAGAGCAGCGGGGAAGGGAGGGCATATCCTGAGCATCGGCTACCTACCAGGGACCTACACCTACACCACCACCACCACCACCACCACCACCCAGGACTTCGATCGGTCGTAACTAGTGCATGAGGAGGATGCCCAGCCGATGGCTACGAGTATGTAGTGTCCATCCCTCTTCCCTCCCGCATTTTGTCAATGGCTTTGTTCACTCCCGTGTGCTCTCCTCTCCAGTGTCGGGTCGGGTCGTCTCATCCTTGACCAGGCCCACAACTTGGCGGCATCTTGAAAGTACCCTCATATTTGACGTTGGTGGTCGTCGGACTCTCTGCCCATACTCTGCGCATCTCCTTTGTCAATTGCTCTATTTTTCTGCTATGTGTGTGGGTCCTTTAAACAATTGCCAATTCCAAAATTATTTTCGTATTATCGAATCCGCAGTGCGTGCTTGTCGTTTTTGTATCTAATTGTTTAATTGTCAGATCATGAGTCGGCGTGTTGTCTGGATATGTCAAGAGAGCGCCCTTATCCATGTCTGGGAAATGCTCACTCTACAAGGGATATCTCAGCTCCAGGCGTATCCCAGTGTTAGTTGATTGTTCTCCTGTCAGTTTAGGGGACAATTTCTGTTCGATTTTGAAGGATTAGTTGATTGTGGACCTGTCCAGGCCCAGGCGACATGTACACCACCGAAACAGGACATGTGTGTGGTCCAAGATCATGAGGAACGCCATTAGTTTAATTAAGTGTGAGAAGATTTCTCTAATTCGATTTCACTTACTGGGGGGGTGGGGAGACTGGATTGGCTTGCCACAAAAGCTCCATCTAGCGATCGGCTCACGTACACGTGTGTGGCTGTGACTGGCACCAATACAATGTTCCCTTTCGCACACAAACACACTGGAAAGCATGCGTGTGTGTGCGTGACGAAGCGCACCAACATTTGCCCCAAACGAAACTTAAAACTTGAAACTTCTTTAATGGCCAGAGGTGCCCTTTGCCCTTTGTTTCGATAATCATAAAACAAGTGCTAATTTCTCCAGTTTAGATTTAAAATTTTATTGTTTTGATTTTCGCTTTTTGCTTAAATTTACTAGGCATTGAAAATATTTATAAACAGTCTTAGGGTCTTTACACAAGATAATGCTACCAGTAGATTAGAAGTAAAGTAATAAAACAATAATTGTTTAAACGACGAATATCGAATTAAATTTCCAATTCCGTAGAGCCAGCCATGGCGGCCATTCTGTTCTTAGAAGCCAAAGTACGGGTAGGCTGGAGCAGCCGGGACCATGGAGCTCTTCTGCTCCACCTGATGGTGGTGGTAGCCGCCCATGTGGTTGGCCGTGGGAGCACTGGAGGGGAAGAAGGACCCAGCAAAGTTGTAGCTGTCCCACGAGGAGGGGTGATGCGAGCCAGAAGCGGCGGCGGAGGCGAACTGCGAGCGGAGTTGCTCAGCGGATGTGGCTGCAGTTGAGGGCATTGTGTAGGCTCCGGCGGAGCCAGTTGCCGAGTACGCAGCACTGGCCGATCCCATGGAGTAGGTGGAGCTCATGAAATCGTTGCCGCTGGCCGGATGCTGAGCCTGCGACTGAATGGGACTGTGGGCGGCGGAGCTGCTGCCCGTGCTACTGGCTGGCGACATGGAGGCCACCGAGCCGCCATAGGCAGCATGCGTCTCATAGGCCGCACCCGATGCGGGCCACGCCTGGGAGCTGTACAAGCTCATTCCCATGCTGGGAGCTGTGGCAGAGGCGGCTGAGGCTGTGGCTCCATAGGAAGTGGCTGTGGATGCGAAGCTGGGCACCTGCTGGGTGTTCAGTTGCTTGCGCAGACGAGCACGACGGTTGGAGAACCAGACTTGGACACGGGCCTCGGTCAGGCCGGTGCTCTGGGCCAGCTCCTCCCGTGTATAGACATCTGGGTACTGGGTGCGAGCGAATATGCGCTCGAGGGCATCGATCTGGTCGTTGGAGAAAGTGGTGCGCGAGCGCCTTTGCTTCCTCTTCAGCTGCACACTGGGCTCGGTGTCATCCTCGCTCTCGTCCTCGCTGCCCGCCGAGGCAGCGCCACCCCCGAGGATGCCATCAATGCTGTGGGAGGCTCCGGAGCCCGAGGTGGCGCGCAGCAAGCGCGAAATGGAGCTGACTGAGGGGGCATTCTGTTTGTCACAGATCCCGGCCTCGATCAGCTTGGCGCGAATTTCCCAGCTGAAGATGCCGGGCTGCGCTTGCTTCAGCTCCTCGATCCTGGTCTCGATGTCGGGTGTGGCCACACGTGGCTTGCTGCCGCCGATCACACCAGGGCGAATGGAGCCGGTCTCTTGGAAGCGGTTGAGGATCTTGGAGACACAGCCATGGGAGACACGCAACTGGCGAGAGATCACGCACGGACGGACCCCAGCTGCTGCCATCTCGACGATTTGGCGACGAATGTGATTCGGCAATGGACGGCCATTGATGAAAACGCCTCCAAGCTGATTTACCCGACCTTGTCCTGCAAGTAGACGAAAGAGAAAGGATGATTAGTATCATGTTCTAAGAGTTCTTTTCAGTTACAGATAATCTACAAGCTGGGTTTCTTCTATGTGTATTTATTGTGTGTGGCCGGCCCGTGATTCTGTTCTTGGGTCGATCTTTCAATTAACTTTTCTTCTGTGCTCGATTGAGCAGCAATTGGTAATCTATTTAGACTGCACTGCCCACTTCACTGCATTGCACTCGAAAATGCACTAAGCAGGATCAGCCCAAGGATCAATTCGCACGATCTTTTGTTCTGCTGAGCTAGAAACGATTCGTTGGTCATTTGTAAACATAACAAAACGCAAATTGCCAATTTGCGTAGGTCTTTTCGAACAGAAGAAAAGAAAGCGCTGATCGGTGGCAGTGGCAGTGGCTGGGAGGTGGGGAGGGGGGGATAAACTGAAACTGCCGCTCAGGCCGGAGAATGATGCGGCACAGCTGCATCCCATGTTGGCCCATGCAATCAAATCAAACTAATAATCCATAAGCGCTGCGGACACCCAGCTGTGCCAGCTAATATAAGTATATAAAGGCCAGCCCCAAAAACACAACAACGGCCAACAGGCAACAACCTAAAAGAGAAATAAAGCCCCAGCCCCAGTCGCAGACGCAGTCGCAGACGCAGTCGCGGACGCAGTCTCTGTCCAGGCCTGGCTCTGGCTCTGGCTCTGGGTCTGGGTCTGGGTCGGAGTCTGTTGTTTGGGGCGCTGACGGTACTGCTACGTGATACACAAGACCCAAAGCACAAGCGCGAACCCCAGCTCAGACACAGACACTGAGCCAAGATCAAAGCGCAATAGCCGACAGAGGCAAGAGACGAGACGAGACAAGAGTCAAGCCAAGAGCTGGCCTGGCCTGGCCAGACGACCGACCGCGCCAAAAAGTCTGCAAAGTCTGCACTGGAAGCTGGGATGCTGCGGTGCTGCGGAGCTGGGATGCTGTCCGGCCTGCAAGTCCCCGATCACAATCAATAAGTCAAAAAGCTGATCATGCTGCCGACCGGGTAATGATCTCTCGTTTGAAAACAGCGGGCGAAAGCGCTGCCCCAAATGATGAGCCAGCACTTTTCAATGTCCGACTCTGACGTTTTGTACTCGTAATTGTGGTAATTGGTAATAGGCCATTGCGTAGAATCTGTGATCTGCTATCAGTGCTTACCTTGGAAGGGATATCCAGCAAAGTAGGGAGTCATGTTGAGAGCCGACACAGCCATATCTTTCAGTAATCCGTTCTCTCGGCTTGGCTAAATATTGACAACACTTGTGTTCGTTCTACTTTTTCTTTTTTTTTTTTGATCTAATAGTATTCAATCTTCACAATCACTAGGAAATCCACAAAGTAAGATTTTTCTCAAGATAACTTTTCCCTTCGATTTGTTAATGCGAATGCGCAGTGCTCAGTGTTCAGTGCTCAGTGATGCTGCTCGTTTGCTTGACACCTCGAAACTGATTTTGAAATGGTCAGCCACCAAGACTAAAACGAATTCGTGAGATTCTCAGAGCCAAGGAAACAAGTTTTTGGTCGGAGAAAAACCCAAGCGAGCGAGGGTGGAAGTGCAAGCAGGCAGCACTCAGCAGTCAGCACTCAGCAGTCGGAGTGAGAACGAGAGGTAGGTAGCGATCGGCCGAGAGCGTGGCTGCGGCCTGTGCTAGAGCAGAGCAGTGCCAGCCCTGTGTTAGAGGAGATAAGCAGGCGAGAAAGAGAGAACCACACGAATTTTCATAGTATGGCTGCAATGCCGCTTAGCTCCGCCCACGGACCAAAACCAAAACCAAATTTAATGTTGTTTCATTTTCTCGGTGGAGCTGATTTTTTAGATAAGCCCAAGTGGGCTCAGAGTCGGTACGAGTACTCCACTGCGATTATTTATTTTATTTGCGCCTGATTTGGAGTTATGCGAATTCCAGTGTTTACCTAGGGCTGCTGCGTCTCTAAGGTCTCCAGTTTAGCAACAGTCACTTTATGTTTCCGGCTGGCATTTGGGTTGATTGGACACGTCGTAATCATATTATCTACAGGATTTCCGTTTGCTTTCCGTTTAAAGACTCACTGCGAAAATACACGTGTATCCTCCATTGAGGAAGCCGAAGGAGAGAAAACACTTTTGCTCATTTGAATTGCTTTGAAAGATTGAAGGAAGAATAACAGAATGTGAAAAAGGTTACAATGCCCCCTCGAAAGGGAGTGTGGGGGGGGGGGGGGGCAAGATGCACGCGCTCCCGCCCATATTCAACAGTCTGACCGACGTCACTGGGAGGTCTTAGCGTGGCTCCCCCTTTTGCCCTTCGAATGGCATTTTATTTGCATTCCGCTTTGTCTGGAAAACGCCTTCAGGCATACCTTGGCCTTGGGCTAAAAGGGGAGCAGCCTGGGTCCACATCAGTGTTTTCTGTGTTCGTTGGCTTCCGGATATAGTATGCTATCATAACACTCGTACAACTCATAGCTATTTCGGTACAGCATTTACCATAACTTCGGTGTGCTCCATTAAATGTTTGTTCTCTTGCACACTCCCAAGATGTGATTCAATTACTGGAGCTGGCCAACAGGCCTGCTGTTGCTGTTGCTGTTGTTTGCTTTTGTTAATTAGAATGAACCCGATACCCAAGACAACAGACAACAGACAACATTAATATTCATGGGAAACGGAGAGGCGGAAAGGCCACTAATATGTGTGAACGAGTGGGAAGCTGACAAAAAGATTTTCGCACGAGGAAAAAGGGAAAAAAACTTCATTTCCGAGTGCATGACTTTTGGTTAATTTGCTGTTTGCTGGGCTCTTTCGGTGCTGTGACCTCTTTGCGCCGAGTGTCGGTCGAAATCAAAGAACTTTTGGGCATGTTGCGTATACGCCGCGTGTGCGAGCATTGAAAATTATGCGGCATCATATCCAAGGCTGAAGCAAGGCTGAAGACATGGACAATATGAACAAACTTGTTGCCACTGCCGATGGAGGCACACGAGTGTGTATCTGTGAGATACTTTTCGCGTGGGTGCTATGCCGCCACCGACACCGACACCGCCACCGCCACCGCCACTGACGCTCACGTTGAATGTGTGCCATTTGGCAATAATTGTAAGGCTATTGTTTGGTTGCCCGCCACGCTCTGTGTGTGGCTTCGCCTCGAGGCAATCGCTCAAATCTTATGACAACTCAAACAGCTACTGTGCGATTGGCAAAAATACCGCTGCCGATAGCGATACTGCTGCAGATACACATACAGATACAGGCGCAGATTGTTTGTCTGCGGCAGTGATGTATCTGTATCTATTGAACTTTCGAATGGCAAGTGTCCGTTGGGTGCGTTCGGTTTATTGTCTGTCTCTCCATCTCGACTACCGCTTCTCCTTTATTCACCCTATTTTCGCGCTTGCCTTTCAATTCATATTATTTGGAAAAATAAATAGCCAACTATTCTTCAGGTTATAGAGAAATACTTTACACTCGTCGACTGTGGCATTTTTGTGGGAATTTTTTAATATTTTACCCCGACAAGGACAGACAAGGAAACGAGTAATGGAGGCCATGTATTGGCCTAGCTGACGGCTGACGGCTGACGGTTGGCACATTTTTCGGGTATCAGTTGAAGTCGGAAAATTCATTTTCACCAACGAAGGTCTTTGAGTGATGCCTTTAAAATGCTGTGGAATTCGATTTCTACGACTATTGGAAGACGGGAGAGTTTTCTTTTCGGAGGCCTGCTCTAATATTGATTTAAGTTACTCCCTGGAACAACAATTTTTCAAAACGTCGTATGTTAGTAAGTAATGAAGATCCCTCCAAAATGCTGGGCTAATGATTCTTAAAGCGCTCCCAATAAATTCCTCTGAAAAATTACCACTAACGCCCATATGTCAGCTTAAACGAAAGCCCCTCAGCCCCGAGGCCATCGGGAACGGCAACAGCTGTGGGGGCAGAGGCTGCCCCGACTGCGGTCGGTGAAACAAGAAAACTAAATTAAAACCCAACCGCAACTGTTTACACAGCAAATGTTACCACGAAGGGGCGGCTCAACAAAGCCTCGAACTGGGGCTGAAGCTGAAATCCCAGAAATGAAATAAAGGAGAAAGATGATTAATTAGGGCGGCTACTTGCCAGAGTGGGATCGGATCGGATCGGGAGAGCAGTTGCCGGTTGATCGGGACAGTTGGGCCGAGAGGTGAGAAGAGTAATATGTACAAATATATCACTCCTTCGGAACGGTTAAAAACGAATTAATAATGTGTGATCGGATGACGCCCCCAAAATGTGGAATGCCAGTTGGCCAGCTCAACGAAAGGAGAATCATCTAATAGCCCTTCGGCTATCCTGGGGGATGTTGCGGCCAATCATGAGTGTTGCAGAGGCGGGCACGCGTATCGCCACGATGATATGGCAAAAGGATGTCTCGTAGGGATCGATTGACTTTTGGATGGGCACACAAAGAATGCCATTATGTGCATGATCTGTGGTTTCCCTTTCAACTCTGCTCCGTTTGCGGCGCTTTGTCGGCAAAAGAGTAGAGAGAGAGACCAGTAGGGGAGTGAAGTGAGCGTCAATGACGTAGAGGGAGGACACCCAAGCCGCTGCCACCATCGAAGTGTGAATTCTAACAGCCCGCGTCGGCGTGGCCCTCGCCGTCGTAAATAAAACATTTGAGCCCCAGTCACAGTCGCTGAAATGTGGCGGATTCGGATTCTTTGAAAAGCAAAGAGGGACAGGCAGAGAAACGAAGAGTCCGACGAGTTCGACGAGTCCGACGAGTCCGATGATCAGGATGAAGATGAACCTTAATTGCACTTCGGCGTAGCGCCTTCGTTTATCGCGTTCCTGTTAATTTGAAGCTGATCCTTGATTAACACTCCGCTCGTCTTCTGATAGGGACATGCCCTCAACTCCTTTGCTTCAATTCCTCGCCAGCACCTCCCTGAAGATCGTGCGGTGTGTGGCGTCAAGCCATAAAATTCGTTTAACACCTGCGGACCCTCGAGAGGTGTGATGTCAATGATTATAACTATAACGCCTATAATCCACAAATGACTTAATAAAAGGGTTTCGCCGCCCATTTCGGACACGCACAGAATCGATCGTCATGAACTTGAAGGCAGTTTCAGGGGCAATCCTCCTCCACAAATGGGCATGGCCCTATGCTACCTTGATCTTTGCCCATCCTAGAGATATATGCATTTGCGATCCACTTCAGTTCCATTTTCCATCATCCGTACCCAAATAATTCATATATTTATCAGATTTAATTACAACTAATTTGACATTGAAATATAGGAAATTTTCCAAAATTAATGCACCGAGAAATCATAGACGAAATAATCACGAAACGCAATCAATCCTTTCCTACGATGATGCAAAGCAGCTAGGTACTATTCGGGAAACAAAAACATAAATAATCTACATAAGTAGGAATCTCTTGGAGACTGTACGGTGGCCACCGCGCCGCTTTCCCGTTTTGATTTATTTACCATAGGAAATATAAATGCATTCGAAATGGATTTTAGTTATGCGTGGAGGCCGCCAGAGCTCTCGAAAAATTATCGCCAGCAAATGCTATGTGAAAATAGGAAAATAAATAATTATTGAAAGGCTAAAAACCCAAGTCCACATGGAGCTTCTACTTCTAATTAAAGACACATTTCTTGGCTTCCATGTGCAGGTCCATTTCCCACTCCGGTTCCAGCTGCAGGCACAAATCGATTTGCTACAATTTCAATTTTCGTTGATTTTCCAAAAAGTGACAATTGGCCAGCGTGATTTTCAATTATTCTCAGGTGAATCGATCCGTCAGTCGGCACATGTCAAAGTTGGGAGCTCCCCCCATAATTGTGGCATCAAGTCCAGGTTCCGTTAAGCCAAACGGCGAGTCTCGTGCCGACTTTTCCAAAACAAATTGCAGCGGCTTTTTGTGGATCGTTTCTTCACACTGCGGAGTGCGGAGTGCGGAGAGTGGAGTGTGAAAAATTGAGCTGCATGTTATCTCCAGTTGATTTAATTAGATTTTGATTTGCTGCGGCATTTTTCGCATCTAATTGAAGTAAAGTTCCCAGAATCAAAGATTATTATTGAGCTGGTTTTGAAGATGCCGCCGATCCGATAAGACCATTATTATATTATTCATTATAACTTTGTGAAATCGTGATGTATATTGTATTCTATTGTACACATTGCCAATAAATCTGGTAAGATTGGTAAGCTTTTGAATCTTTAAAGATCACGCACCTATCAGAATATTTGAATATTTTTCCGATTTGAAAATATATCACAATATCTTTAGTGGGCGTCGAAAATCAATTTGCAATAAGCAACTAAACGGCATTAGGTCAATTAACACATCAGACACATT